GAGCCAGGGAAAGTACGAAGAGGCGGAGGCGATGCATCAACGAGCACTGGAAGGATATGAGAAGGTGCTTGGGCGAGAGCATCCCGACACGCTCACCAGCGTATACCACCTCGCTCATCTCCTTACCCATCGGCATCGTATCAGCGAGTCCTTGTTATTGTACCAGAGGGCATGCGCTGGATACTCCGCTGCTCTTGGGAACAATCACCCTACCACACGGGCTTGTCTTAAACAATATTCTAAATTAAGCGGGTGAAAAGAACATGAAAGCCTTACATTTCATCCTCCGTCATTGACTCGGGAGACAGCGATATCCACCCGGAAAGTATCAAGGTTATCACGTGGGCTGGCAAAGCTAGGCATTCAGCGCAAGGTCTCTTAACTACTTAATCTTAGTGTCTTCTGTAATTAAAAAGATCACGTTACAGCAGCGATCTTTCGAATGTGTCCAATTCGGCTGAGTCATGTTGTGAACTAAGCAGCGTATTCAGCATGGATACAATAAAAATAACATTTAAGAAACCCTTACCTCTCCCCTAGGTCGGAGGAACTCTCGGATTCACAGCATGCAGCACAGAATCCCATTCAAGTAGTAGCAATGTAGGCCTACTCAATTAGTTTTTCCTATTAGTCCTCCAAAGCCGAAGGAAACCTAATCAATCGTGGCTGAACCAGGGTGGAAAACTGAAATAGCATATGAGGGCGTTAACAAATCGGACGATAGCAATACCAACCCTGCAGCGATCCTCGCTACAAACTGGCCTATGAGTAGTTGTACGACTATAGTGCAGTATTTTGTTAATTACGAGCATACATATGCGCTTTACCATGATCGTCAACGTCTATATGAGGACAGTGTCTGGTTACGCTGTGTGTCTCGACGTCGTGCAGGACCTTATATGGCGTTATCTACAATGTGTAAATATATGCTCTTACCACTTTGCCTCAGCTGGCGACACGGGTCTCCTTGCTTATGTTTACGAATGACTGTGAACACGAGATCACGTGCTATACAAGAGCAGTAGCCGATCCGAGTAAATTCTACAACAGGAAGTACTTCTTTGCTATGCCGCATGAAGGGGCTTGCCTGTTGAGGTCATTCCCTCACTAAAAGGTATGGTCATTGCGTGCTTCCTTTGTCCTCGGAAATAGCAGTCTTTGCTCGGTGTGCCCGACGCTCGATATCCTTTGTTGGCGCTGTTTTCCCTTGTACTTTCCGCCATTCTTTGTACAGATTACTTCAATTTATCCTTATACAATAACGATTCTCTCAGCCGCTAGTATCGTAGAATACAGACCACATATGCTCAGTCGTTCCACTCGGCCATTCATTCGCGTTCTCGTTTTCACGTTTCCCTCTCCACCGCTGACACTGCACCACTAAAATGACAACACGCATCCTCTTCACCCCGCGAAAGCTGCGACTCGACACCCTCTCCGTCCCGTCCAGTCCCCTTCACCGCCGCTCGCAGAACCAGCTCGACACCCCCTCCGTCCGGCACCACTCCGGCAAGCGCATAACTTCCATCATCCCGTGCACCTGCTCAGACCCGTCTATTCTCAACCAGCCAGGGAAGCCCTGCCTTGTTGCAATCCTGTCCCCCTCACCCGAATCGCTCTTCCGCCGCTCAAAGCGATATGGCCTCGTTAGTCCCTTGAGAAGCCGTAACAGCAGTGCTTCTCTGTCTCTCGAATCGGTGAAAGATGATGTAGAAGAGGAGGCAATGGACGTCCAAGATGCGCTCTCGTTCCAGTACTACCTAGCTCCCATCAGCACCGACAGCGCGGATCACTACACCGACGCTTCGTGGGTCGCGTTCGATATGCGAGGTGCGCATGAGCGGGCTGAGACGGAGGAGATGTTGTTGGGCGACTTTTACCTGCCGTTTGTGGATAAGGATGATTTTAATTATTATCCTGAGAGGAGTCCGAGGCCGCTAGGTGATGTGAGTATGGAGGAGAATCTGGTGCTGAAGGATAGGCTGGAGGAGGTGAAGAGTGAGAAGTTGGTTGAGAAGGTTCAGGAGGTTAAGGTGGTGGAGAAGGCGAGGCGGAAGTCTAGACTTAAGGAGATGATGACCAGGCTGGCGAAGAATTTGAGCTGTAAGCAGTAGTGCTGTGATGGTTGGCCAAGACTCTTTCTTGTTCTTGCGTTGGCTTTGTGGTGGCAATGCTTCATTTGGAACGATGCATTGAAGCGCATTACATCAGCACAGATTTTAGACGTCGATAGACTTTATCTGGTGTAGCAATAATTCCATACTCAGCGAATTTTCTTAGGATGGTAACAATACCTGCAATTAATTCATCGATCGAATACAGATTTGCAATCTACTCATGCGCATTGTATTACAATGTTTCTATTTTCACTCTCCTTATGTCATATACACAACGTATAACAATTTGCCCTGTAGTTATGACTTCAATTCCTTCACCCCACCCAATTGTATTCCAACAAGTATATAATTCTTCCTCAAGCTCGCGTGACCTACTCTACCAAGTCCTCAAATAAGGTAAAATTCAACCAATGGTGCCCGAATACCCAAATGAGCAATATGTTCGTCCTACTAACGTAGGTCTCCCAGGGGACGAGTTCACCTTGAGGAAGGAAAGGCTTAACTCAAGGCTTCATCATACACACCTTGAAGATGTGTATGCGCGCAATAGTCTGGGGATGCAGGGTCCGGTGAGGTGTGGGCAGCTTGATCCGTGGGGGCCGAATCCAGATCTGCCTTATAGGAAGCCAATGGATACAGCTGATACAGGTAAGCTACCGACCAGAAATTGTGCTGAACGTACGTTGCAGGAGTCGCAGATTGCCAATGTTACTCGGAGGGCTTTGGGGCACAGCTGGTATCCTACAGACCATCTTGGTGACAGTTTGGAGGACTATGCCGTGCCACGCGTTTCGAGCAATTGGCATGATGTTCCGCAGCGGAAAGATCCGATCCCTGATAAGTACTTGCAGGAGTACAATCAGCTTTTCTACGGAGACGGAGGATTTTTAAGGCAGCAGGAAGACCCGATCCCTGACAAGTACCTGCAGGAGTTCAATGGGTTATGGTACGAGGATGACGAAGATAATGACGCTGACCAGCTGTTGGCTGATCTGACTCCAAATGAATATGCGCCGTGGCGCACTCATCTACCGCTACGCCCAATGTATGGTCCAGATATTGATTTCCGCACTTCAACCCACTATAGGGACAAAACGGAGATGACGAACTGGACTAGTGCTTCGTACACAGCCAGCGTGGCTCATCAAGAAGTAGTCGAGCCAGAGCCTCTCGATCAAACCGAGCCCGAAAGCTTTGTCCGCTGGAGTGATTCCACGCTGGCTCATCAGGGAGTCCTCCAGCCAAAGCCCATGGTTCGCCCCAAGCCCCAAAGCTTTTTCGATTGGAGTGATTCTTCAAGTCAAGATAAAAGCCGAAAGAAGAAGCACTCGCGGGCCTCGATTCATTGGAAGCGTCTGACGAAGGGCTTTCGACACAGCCATCGGGCGTAGAAAGTGTTTTCTGTTGGTGTTTGAAGATACTACCGTTAGCATCGCTGCAATAAGTTTATCCTATTCTGCTTGAGCGAAGGGCGAGAGAGTGGTAGAATGAATGTTGAACTGGAAAGTCAGCATCGCGGTGAGTGGTCAAGTTGCGTCTTCACCTCGTGTCTGACGTTATGTATGAGTTTAGAAAAGGTATTTAAAGTGACTGAATGCGATGAGAATCGTTGCGAGCTGTTTCGTGTACTCTGATTCGAACAAGCAACTGGAATACACGTGCAGTCTCGTTTTTTTAAGGCACACGTCGATCGTTGATCGTTGTGTAAGCCGTTGAACATAGCGGGAAATCTTAAAAAACGCTGCGCACCTCGAAGCGTGCACGCACAATGTGCGAAGACCCCGAGTGCCTTAATGATGCATTCTAACTGGTATATAATGGATTCCAGAGCTTGTCGGGTGAGAAAAGCCAACAGTCCAGCCTTCCTGAAAGGCCGCAAGTCTTCCCAAAGGTCTTTCACTCACTCACGTGAAGTCGCAAAACTCACTTCAACTTCACTGCAGGCATCGATTCTAAGCAAGATTTCGACCATGGGTTTTCCGCGCAACTTCAGAGAGCACAGCCGCAACGTTTCCGCCCCGGCAAAAGCGCCCAACATGCCGCTGCGACACGGCAAACGCCCATCGGTCGTCGATGGCAAGGTCTTGGAGCCTGAGTGGGACCGGGTACCTCAGACATACGGTTCTTTCAACCAAGACACCTTAGCACGTATCTCGCAAGTGCAAGCAGAGCACGCTCGTACTGCGCGCCCGACTACACAACTGCCCCATTCCCAAAGACCTCCGCCAGAGAACCCACCCCAGAGCTCTTGTCTGAACTACAGCGCCTGCATGGACTCCGCGTCTCCTCGACAACCATTCAAACGTTATTACAGCAGCGCTCTTTCCGATGAAGACAGAACCGCTTTGGCCGTTGGCGAACTCAATCACAATCTGCGCGGATGGACGGGTGACAAGCTGGTCCAGTACCATGTTTCGCGGATTGAGTTGGTTCCGTACAGTGAAGAGCGACAGGAGATTATCGCAGAAATTCTCGATGAGAAGCGTGGCGGTGAGCGCTTCGTGCTCCAGTCTGCGCGCCAGGCGAAGCGGTTTGTAAGTTCGCCCTTGAGTAAGCTGCAAACGTTCAAGGAAGTGAAGACTCACAACGAGCAGATGCAAGTCGAAGCATCCCGATCTATGGTAGACCTTCGCGCTGCAAATACATCCAGCTTGTTGCTTTCACCGATCTCTCCAATCTCTCCCGTATCGCCGCCATCGTCGACATCGCAAGAGGGTTTCCCGTTCCCCGTGTTGGAGACCCAGAACATCCGCCAAAGCACTCATAGTGGCGCCAGCAGCAATGGCGACCACTTCTCGAGGCAATCGGTTAGCAGCTCCATGATGCAATTCCCGCACACGTCGGATTCCTCCCGAGACTCGAGTCACAATCGTGGTCACGCGCCAGATCGCCGTCCGCTGGTCAGGAGGGCAGACCGGAACACCAGCCGTTTCCGCAGCTCTATGGCATTGGAAGCGATTCATTACGTTGTAAATGCCGATATTACCTTCGACACGTTCCTCGCTCCGCATGCTTCGGGTAAGGGCGAGACGCACTGTGACTCTGTTCACATCAAGAAAGAAGTACAGCCGCGCAATTTCTCGCGCCGACTGAGTAAGATGCCATCGATGCCACAGTTGAAGAAGCGTGCATCGTAGGCTTTCAAATTTGGATAGAAGAAGAAATGAACTTAAAAAAAGGGGCGCGATACCCAAGCGATGTAGAATTAAGGGTAGACTAATATATACGTCAAAGCAGTGTGCGTGGCCTAGCATTCGAGTTTAGACTTGAACCGCGCGATGCAAAAGAAAAAAGGGCAAGCTGTCTTATAAAGATAGTACTATAATGTTGCCCACAAGCTACACCGTGGTCCGGTGATGATCTGTGAAGGACTGTCGGAACGCTGTGAGATTATGTAGTCCAGTCTGAGCTCTCATGCGCTAATGTAACTGGTAAGCCTAATATCGAAGAACGCTAGGTAATCCATACGGAGCTTATATGACAGCCTGCTACATGCAGCCGGCTTGTAATTCTAACTTTTCTCTACTTACATTATTTACATGTGAAGTTCAACACGACTTGTCTCAAGTTAGCGCAATCTTTCCGTCCGAGATTGACAGTCCAAGAGTCTCGAATACTTACGACTCACTGGTTCCACGAGTAGCGGGTTTACCCAACAGCGCAAGGCTGAGCTTCTGGCTAGGTATGGAGTACATTCTCTGCGCTTCGCTGTTCAAAATCAATCTCTGCTCAATGGCCAACACCGAAGTTTCCAGCGCCCAAGCGCATAATCCTGATGAGTCGCCGATAGAATGGCGAGCACTTGACATCGACCAAGTGGACGAAGATCGCATCCTCGATAGATTGGGGCCCTGGACCCAGTGCCCACAAGTCTCGTCCAGTTTCCCATCCAGAACCTAAAAGAGGTGGCAGTACTATCGTGGCGATGCGATGATGATCTCAAATCGAAAGGATCGATGAACATCGCTTGCGCAGTCCACCAAGCCAAGCGCATGAGTATCAATTCCCTTTTTCTCGATGTTATTTCCATCGACCAGAACCTACCACCAGGCGATCTTATACATCGCGTCCTCACGTTTGCAGAGCTATACGTATCGGTTCCTGTCATTGCAGCCTACGACATATCTACCAAAACACGTTAGAAGCACTCATACGTCCGTGGATCGCATTCGAAGTTCACAAATGTAGATATAGCCCCGGAGCGATCACAAACGTCGGCCAAAACGATAATGGCGGAACAATGGAGCCATATGACTCCCGTGACAAGGTATTTGGCTACCGTGACATGCTCCTTCCTGCTCTTGATGGGACTTCAGCAAGAAAAATATGGCCACCCATCTATCAAGTTTTCGTCCTCCCATTCTGTTTAGTCGTAAACAGTAGCATCCCCAATAGAGTTCTCCTGTTGCCACTCAAGGTGCAAGGCGGGTGCCAGGTCTGCATCGCCACTGGTATCCTCAAGAGAGACGAGTGGGATGGTATCGACCGCTGGGGCATCCTAGACATTAACGATGAGCATTCGTTACACCGAAATGTAACGCAAAGGGAATTCTGTTGCTATATATACCCCGGGCCGAATGCAACACAACAGCCTGGAGTGCTTCGACCTCGTAACATTGAGCATCACTCACTTCTGGAACATCGAACCCATTAAGCTCTTTATGTAGAGACAGTGCCAGTGCACGATCCACCTCTTCTTGAGACGTCATGTTGCAGCCTTGTGGGCAATCGAGCCGACTGGGTCAACGACACTGCTGTGCAGCGTTCAGATGTGGTGCAGTGTGCAAACGAGTGTATTGTGTTCTTAACAAATATGCGAGGTGAAGTGAGACAGGCGCGCAGGGCACGGACGTTATCACTGGAGGTGAGTCGCGCCTGCCTGCGACTTCTAGCACTAGCCCGATCTGGACGTACCGGTGAAGGCACAGCAAACAACCCGCACTACGTATACTGCTCGGTAGTATCTTGATGTTCCCGAGCGGTATAAGAGAATTATTTAATTATCATCAACAATGTTGGTCTCTGACTGCGCAGAAACCTTGAAGGTTTACCTCACTTACCTTGAAGCCAGCTTCACGATACTGGTCATCCGGTCTGGTTTGGCGAATCTAGCTGGCGATCTGTTGCCTCTATAATGGTTCAGTCAAACACCACCCCGAAGTTTCGAGCCGAGGCAAACATACCATTCGATCTGAGTAGGCTATCAGTTACATGTCTCAGTATGTGACGAGCTCGATGAGCGCGAACTTTCTACGTTTCCTGCTGATCACGCCCATAATGTCGATTTAGCACATCGAAATCTGCTCGCTCGTGTTCTCTTTTTCAGTGCAGCCGAATAATGTCACCCAAGGACCTCTAAGCTACGTGTGTACTCAATATTATCATTCAACATTATACACGAATCTAAGTATTCCCCGTCCCATCGAAGCTCTTTCGTCCCGATTCCAAAGGGGCAACATCCAACAACAGCAAACAAGGGGTATCGTGTATCGAAAGTAAATGTCGCCTAGATGAAGTGGTGCCGAAGCACAGGCGAGCAGTTCATCGTTCTTGCTCGCGTCAGAATCCGAATGTTCGTTACTTGCGGAGCTCGCACCTTCTCCCACCATGTCCCGTCCGAGCCTTCATCAGTCCGGGTCTCGCAATGAGATGTCGCGCCAGCGCAACTTTCTAGCCAGTCCATTCACACGTGCTTCTCTTCTGCGGAACGGCGGACCAGACCCTTGCCAGGCCGCGTTTTATTTTCTCTTTGACCGCGCACAAGTTCATTCTTTGGCAGAAACCATCTACTTGCTTATCTTCTTCCACAGGCAGGCGTCACACATTCCCTGGCTCCTGTTTACCACTTTGTGCTCCAGCCCATCTTTCTCCTTACAAGGCATGTCCAGCCTATTGCTCTCCGATACTTTGCAGAGACGTAACATAGTCTTTGTCCCGGGCTGCGGCAACGGTTTCCAGCACCCACATGAGTAGAGCGTGTAATGAATTTCGCACATGTGTAGGGGGATCCAGGTTGACTTTTGCACGTGCAGAGAATTGGTGGAACGTAGTCGTTGCGCAGATCCTAACTTAACGGGCTGTCGAGGGAATGAGGTTTGTGTATATGGAGTGACGATGCTGATCAGGCCGATCAATCGTTTGAGCGTGGAATTCTGCGATGTCGATTTTCCCAGACGAAGGTTTTTGCGCATTGGTCCAAGGAGCCAGAATCTAGGACGATAGCAGGATTCGTAACAGCACGCCCCAGGTTAGGAATCAAACTCGAAATCAGCGTAAGAAGGAAAGGAAGTGGACAGGACAGGACAGGACCCGCCATTCCCGCTGCCCTGGCCCAAAGCCTTTGATTAAATTGCGTCGCGTACCGCTGAAAAAGCAACGAGCCCGACGGGCGTCCCAGGGCACGCTCGCGCTCAACACACGACGGACTCACCGCCGATAACAACAAAAAATGCCACAATCCAGCGCCAGGAACGCAGATCCCCGCAAACGATGTAGCACGAGCCCTGCGTCGTCCAGGCGCAGGGGAGATGCGGCGTCCCCTTACTGTTGCGCCGGACGCGTTTCGCTCTCGCGACTCTATCGCGACCTAGCCTAGGATGCGATGCCTTTAGCTCGGCAGTCGCAGCTTTCTCTCAAAAGGAAAGAATGCCCCAGGGACGCAGGACGCGGGGAAGCTGTGTGGTGTAGCCGGGCGCAAGGTCACTGGCGGGGGAACATGCGGGATACGAGCGCCATGGCCTCACGTTGTACTTTTTCCGCCGCGGCCTCGACGGTGGTGTGAAGATCGAGCCATCGCTTGCCGCGATGCCCTTCACTTCTTGCACCAACGTACGTCTGCCCCGTGTTGGCTTGGACTCGTTACGTAGGACGTGATCGGCTCCACGATGCCTACATTCGAACGCGAATGCGTACCCGAACGTCCCTGTAAAAGCTAATGCCTTTCGACCCAATAGCGCGCTTCAGGACTGCACCTCGGGACGAGCCGAACTGGAACTTGTTTCATGACCTGGACTTGTTTTCGATTTGTTCTGATCATGCATGTGCAATCGATCGTGCCCGGGAATCTGGGTCGGACTAGTCTTTTCCAGTCCTCTCGCAGACCTGCAGTGTACCACAAGGTCCAGCCTCGATGCTCAAAGTCATGCGGTGCGACAACAACAGCAACAGCGATGGTCACAGAAGATGCACGCCAGCGGTGCGTGTCACCGGTGGCTCGGTAAGAAACGAAGTACGAGATTGGGAGGAAGCGCCGGAATGTCGAACTGGGGATGGCGCGCAAAAAGCAATTGCCCACGAGGCAGCTGTAGGAGCCGGCTTGAGTCAGGAGCCCGCATGCATGGATGGACACGAGTGCGGCCCGTGAACAAAAAGGTATGGCGCGTTCGTGCGTATCAGATGGATGGATATATCGGGACCCCGGACAAGATTCTTTAGTCCAGATCCGTCGTCTGGATGCATCCGAACCTACTAGGTTTTTAGCATGTAAAGTTCATCGAGCTCAAAAAGAAAGTTACACCTGACGCTCGAAGACAAGGGCATACCACCGACTGTGCCCTACTTCCAACAACCATAACGAATCGATAATCCAAGTCGAACCTTGCTCCTACAACATGTTCAACAGGGACAGCGGCAAGGATTACCGGCCGCGTGGTATGTGCGCATGATAATTTGCAAAGCCGCTGTTACCGAGCATTAAGATGCTGATTTATAGAAATTTCGATACCTAGGATCTATCCGATTATACATGGATGTCCCGCCTCATACACGTTGTGAGGATCCAGGATCCAGGGTCTGGCGAAATGTACATGGATTATGTCGCTTCATATAGCATCCGAGATCTCATAAGCCAGGTTCGTCCTTGCTGAGCTGCCGATCTTTTATTGGCCTCTAACATTGATAACATACTGAAGCGCGATTAAGGGTCATGTCGGACGCCCCAGACACGCGATGCTGGGTTCTCGCACCTCTCGTCAAGGTGTTGCTTTTCCACGGCGTTACCTGGCCAGCACATGCGAGCGAGTCGAGATACCGTAGAGTTTTGCATTGCCCGGTTGAGCTATCAAGAAGCGACCTAAGGGATAATGCAGTTTGCATCCTAAGAGCCGGTCCATTCTTAATATACATCATCTGATCTCAGTAGCTCAGCCGGACAATGCAAAAATCTATGGTAGGAAGATGGAATATCCATTCTTGTAAATGATTAGGTTAGGAAACATGGAGCGGGAAAGGTCAGTGAGCCCAAGAGATACGTCCCCAAATCACGTCTATGCCACCTTTTCGCTTATTCTTTGGGGCCTATGATGTCGACGATATGGAAAGCGAGAAAGAAGCAAAAGTTCGTGGATGAGTGGAGCATGGACTCAAATTTGGTACCCAGTAAGCTTTCCGTCCAACCGCGTTTAACGCAAAGCTGGCCATGCCACGCACATCACAGCCAAAACAAGAGCATCTGCGTACATCTCAGAACTCTGGTATTAATCTATCATAAACGACCGTTACACACTCATTATCATCACCCACTTCCCACGCTCACGTCCTCTTTCCGAACACCTTGTCAAAGTTGACAAGCGTGAGCCTAAACCTTACGTTATCATTCTTGTACACCCGCTCCACGGCCTGCTTGCACCCCTCCTCGCTAATATCAATTGTCTCGACCCAGCTCTTGATATTCTGCTTCGACGCAAGCTCAAACATCTCCTCCATCTCAGGCCTGTTTCCGATGTGGCTAGCGCCCATGTAGCACCCGTTGGGCGCAAACGCTTTCGCGTCGAGCGGCTGCAGCTTGTTGTCCGGGAACCCAACCATGTGGAAGGTGCCGTTGACCTTGAGCGTGCTGAAGTAGTCGGGCAGGTTGAACTTGTCGGTGGCGTCGGCGCAGTTGAGGATAATGTCGAACTGAAAGGCGTACGGCTCGAACCACTTGTCCTTGTTGGAGGAGATGAATTCCTTTGCGCCGAGCTTGAGCGCGTCGTCCTTCTTTGAGTCCGAGTGCGAGATCACGTAGGTCTCTGCGCCGAGGGCGACGGACCAGAGGACACCGAAGTGGCCGAGCCCGCCCAGGCCTACGATGGCAACCTTCTTGCCCTTGCCGGTGCCTAACCGCTTGAGGGGGGAGAATGTGGTGAGGCCGGCGCACAGCATTGGTGCGGCGATGGAGGTCTCGAGGTTTTCGGGGATTTTGAAGGTGAAATACTCGTGGGCGCGGATGTGGCTGGAGTAGCCGCCCTGTGCGATGGTGCCATCAGGGTGGGGCGCGCCGTATGTGTCGATGGCGTTGGGGCAGTAGTTCTCCTGGTCGGCTTTGCAGTTGTTGCAGGTGAGGTCCGCGCCGATCTGGGCGCCGACACCTGCGCGGTCGCCAACCTTGAGGTTCTTGACCTTGGAGCCGACCTTGACGACCTTGCCAATGACCTCGTGGCCTACGCACAGCGGGAGCGGGATCTCCTCTCCCCAGCCTCCGGTGATGGTGTGAACATCGGACGCGCAAACACCGCACGCCTCAATGGCGATGTCGACGTCGTAGTCCTCAAACTTCTTGAGGGGAAGCTCTTTCCGTGTGAAGTTGCTCCAGTTTCCGTTCTTAATGTCAGTGACGGCGAAAGCGTCGGTCGTCTCCGGGTAGGGCATCGTGGCAATTTATAGGGGTATCAATAAGTTGGGAATTACTTTAGAGTTGATGTCGTAAAGGAGCAAGCAGGTATGTCGAAAACCTGTCAATTGAGAGGGCAGGGCAGCTTTATCAATAGTTTTCCAGTCGTCGTTCACTAGTTGCCAGCGAACATTCTCTACTAGCAGCAGTATTACCAGTGAGGTCATCGCCGATGACAATCGGGTCCAGTCCCACTGTCAACCTAGTTTTGCTGTGTGTGATTGGCGCACTTGAGCCGCTGGCTTCTTTGAAACCCGATCGTGGATCTTCGTCACTGTAGCGTCAACGACTTGGGAACATCATTGACGACGTGTCTCTCTTATTTCGTATCAACGAGTCTGGACCCTCGAGGGTAACGAATTAATTCCATCACTTGGTGTAGACCAATCAGTGGTATTTCATTTGGTGATCCAGTCATAGCTGGATAAAATCTTCAGATCTTCTTTGAACCCCACACGTTCAGAGCCGACGTCATGGCGCAGTGTTCCGAAGCTGTTCCGACTTCCGAGAGCATGTGCCTTGGCAACGCTGAGTTTGACACCCAGACATGCGTCTTGTCAGCATCCACGACCGCCGCGAAAACACGTGCTGACCTGTTGTTGATGCTGCAAGCCACATTACAGACCGAACTGACTTCAATGCCTCTACCCTGTAGCTCAAGTAAGCCCGGACGCATGCTGCTCCGGCCAATGACGACCCTGCAGTGAATGCCTGATCTGCACTGGAGATAGAGTTACACTGAGAAGTGCAACAATACATCGCGATTTAAAAATCCATGACCTGGGGTATGGGCCATTTGCGTGCGAGGAGTGCCATCGACTTCTTCACGCGGGCACCTAGGTAGTATTTACCCCGCCTTGCGGGGTAGCTGTTGGATCGTCGGCCGGTGCTGCCCGTTTAGGTTACCCGCGAGAGCTGCGGGCTTCCTTTACCAGGTGCTCCTGTGTCGCGATTGTGCAATCGCGTACGCGCAAGGCTTGTGCTTTCCTCTTGAGCTGTTGAGGACAGATTTACAGAGCGAGAGCTTTAAATCGGCAACGGCTCGCGGCGTGGTAAGGGAACATCTCGAGAACCAGCGCGCTTCAACTCCATCTTTGGCCCTTCCCCACCTCCCCTCCGATCCAGGCAATTCAACAAGGATGGCGGCGACCAGTGGTGCAACCATGAAGGCAGTGCGCTTCCATGGCCAGCATGACCTGCGATACGAGGATATTGCAGTCCCTACTTTGAAGCAGGGCCAGGTGAAGATCAAGCCCGCGTGGGTTGGAATCTGCGGCAGCGGTAAGTCTTATCTTTTTCGTCAGTGAAAACGCACTCATAGATCACCATAGACCTACATGAGTATCTCGGCGGACCCGGGTTATGTCCCACAACCCCACACCCAATAACCGGCGAAACTGTTCCCTTAACGTTCGGTCACGAGTTCAGCGGGACGATTGAAGAGGTTGGTGAAGGCGTGGATGACTGGGTAGTGGGCGACCGCGTCTCAGTTCAACCGATCATCTACGATGGGACTTGTGGCGCTTGCCAGGATAATTTGCACAACTGCTGTTGGAGCAACGGATTCATTGGTCTTAGCGGTACACGATCGACCGGATATCGACCATTGAAGCGTGGCTAATACTCCTAGGGTGGGGCGGAGGACTCTCTGAGCACATTGTAGTCCCGACGTCTGCCTTGTATCGGCTTCCCAAAAACGTCCCATTGCAAATAGGAGGTAAGCTGTTTCGAATTTTGGTACTGTACGGGCTAACATGCTCAGCGCTGGTGGAGCCGCTTTCGGTCGGGTGGCATGCTGTCAAGGCTAGTCCGTTCAAGAAGGGCGACGCGGTCTTGATTCTAGGAAGTGGACCGATTGGTATCGCTGTGATGCTGGCGCTTCAAGCAAAAGGTGCAGATAAGATTATCATCTCTGAGGTCAGCCGCAAGCGACAAGAATATGCGAAGAACTTTGGTGCGCATCACATCCTCGACCCAACGAAGGACGACGTTGTCAAGAGGTGCCGAGAGCTTTGCGACGGCCAGGGGGTCGACGTGGTGTTCGATTGCGCTGGTGTCCAAGTCGCGCTGGACGCAGCCATAGAAGCCACGCGAGCTCGTGGAACAATCGTCAACGTCGCCATCTGGGAGAAGCCCTGTACGATCACACCGAATCTCTTTACATTCAAGGAACGACGATACATGGGTGTTGCGACCTTCCAAGTTGGTGATTTCCAAGAAGTCATCGTAAGTACTGTTTTCCAGATCGCCGAAGAGAAATTGCAGCCGCCCATCGATGGTCGAACTGTGCGTGCGATTCAGAGGAAACGCGTGTCTCGATGTAGTAAGTTGCCTGCAGCTAATGGTTGGTAGGATGCCATTTCCGCTGGCAGCATGAAGCCCGAGCGGATGATCACGGGCCGAATCGAATTGGACGAAGTCGAGGAGAAGGGGTTCAAAACTTTGATCAACGACAAAGACAACCAGGTCAAGATACTGGTCAAAGTAGGAGGCGACGATTAAGAGGATACAGCAGAGAGCACCTTGCTGTCGGATGACCGCAAATTACGTGCTAGGCGCACACTGACAGGACTGGGGCCAGGACTGGATTAGATTGGGCTCATTCCTTCGTCGACTTAGCGACACAATCGGTAGCATGATTCGGGCGATACCCAAGACGTCTCTTTCGAGCCCTGCTGTATTCTCATCATTGGATGGTGACGTGGGTGTATGCAACGTAGACGCTAGTGACCTTGAAGCCTCGCAGCCGTCTTGATTCCGATGACTGTCGGGGATGCAGGGACAGCATGTGCCGTCCGCCCGCGTGCGGCAACCGGTTTTGGATCTCGAGTGGCAGGTGTTGAGCAAAATTAGCGGTGGCTTTGCGATCGAGGCTTGAGCTCGATGTGACGAAATCCCTGCATTAGTGGGCCTTCTAGGCCGTTGCTACGCCAAGCAGGGTGAAATACGAGTGGTCTGGTGCGTCGGAAGAAAAACTTGGTGTGGCTGCGCAGGGGCTCTAGCGAATCGTGGGTTGCGGTGGAGCGAACAGGATCGGCGGCGAATGACGTCGGTCGTGTACAGAACCAGCGACGTTGTGTCACGTCGATCGTCCATCTGGGCAACCAGGCAAGGACGAGGCTGCTGCGTCATCGCGGACGCAAACCCACATATATTGCCCTCGCGATGCGACACCTGCAGCATTTCATCTCAGATACCGCAACGAACATCCTAGCACTTCCTTCCTCTTTGCACACCCTCTTCTCTCCTCTTTCGACCACCACTCAAAATGGCTCTCGGCGGTGCGGCTCTCAAGCTGTTCCAAACCATCCTTTATGCCATCGAATTCTGCTGTGCGGCCATAATACTTGGCATCTACAGTTACTTCCTTGCGACCCTCGCTGACCGCGACCTCACTATCTACACATGGGCCAAGGCTGTTGAGGGCATGTCAGGCGCTGCAGTCCTGTACACTATCTTCGCTGTCCTCCTTACATGCTTCTTGGGCGGAAAGTCATTCTTCGCCCTGATCGCCATCCTCCTCGACCTCGCATTCTGCGGCGCCTTCATTGCCATCGCCGTCCTCACCCGCGATGGTGCGCACAGCTGCAGCGGCTTCGTCAGGACCCCGCTTGGAGATGGTCAGTCCAACGACAAGCAGGGCTTCGACGACTCCAACGGCAAGCAGCAGTACACATACGCTGTGTCGCTAGGCACCGCCTGCAGACTCAATACTGCCTGTTTTGCGGTCGCCATTGCTGGAGCGTAAGTTACATTTTCACCGTGTGAAAATTCTTGCTAACGATCGCAGTCTCCTCTTCCTCATCTCTGCTCTTGTCCAGATCGCTCTTGCGCGCCACCACAAGAAGGAAAAGCGCTTCGGTCCCAGCCCCGCCAACAACTACACCAGCGGTCGCGGCCGTGGTGGCTTCTTCGGCCGCCGTAAGAACAAGACCACTGGCCTCCGCGACCCTGAAGTTGCTGCTGGTACTGGTACCCTCGCCGCTGGGCCTGCCCATGATGTTCGTCCCTCGCACGATACCGCCTACACTGGCTCGACTGTCGCTGGAGCCGGACCCTATGAGCACAACAAGCCTCTCACTGGTGGATACCACACCGCTCCTGTTACCTACCCGAACCATACCCCTGCCCCTGCAACCAACTACTAGAAGTAGGATCCTTGGTGCTATTGGAATGTCTCGTTGAGTATAGCCATACAAGTGGCTTGGATAGCCATATGAGTGGCTCGGATCTTTTCCTTCTAATGAATGATTATTGATAGCGTTTGATACCAGAACACGAAGCACGAGATTGGAACAGTGCTTGCTGGGGACTACTACTTACTGTATGATACGAGTTATGAACCTAATACTTAATATTGAGATTACACAGCCTATTCCACAGATCATATCGTGACGCTGAATGATCGCATTTTCTGATTGAGTTTTGTCAGAATCCATAATTAAACCGAGGGTATATTGCAACCGCCCAAACGCCATGTGTGCCAGGGCTACGTTGCGGTCCCAGTCTTAACCCTCGACTGATGCCCACATCAACCAAAGCGGCCACCTCAGGCACAAGCTGTCTCCTCTATGCCTTCACCTTCCCCTTTCCCTTCGCACCCGCTCCCGCTCCAGCGCCACTCGGTCTTCTCCTCTTCTTAGGATGTTCCTCCACCCGCCCTTCGGCCGCCCTCATGCGATCCAACTCCCTCTTCAACGTCTCTTCCAGCGCCTCGTTTCGCCTCGTCAACAGCATGACATCGTCGACATTGATAACTTTCCTCCCGGCATGCTTTGAGAACAACTCGAGGTCTTTGGCCGAGTTCTCGATCTGGGTGTAGACGAGCTCAGTCAAAGCGCCGATGAACTGCGGCGTCGCATTGAAGTCCTCTGCCCCTTCGTTGTCGACGAACTGCCCGATTGAGTACCAGAGCGCGGATTGGAGCCGCTGGGGTGCATTAGCGCAAGTTCCTGGAGATGTAGATTTCGGTGGGCATAATCACCTCCTTGCGATCCCCCGCATCGTCGTTTGAAGCCATTGCCGCAGTGTTGACGAGCGCTTGGGCGATGATGTGGGGGTGAGCGCGACGCGTGAGGGACGCGCCGGCCCGATGAAAAGCCGATTGGTGAATGCTTTTGTGGTTGACTTGACCGCCCAGGGTTCTGCCGTTGAGACCTGGACCCGCCGCGCGATTTTGGGACTGCGAGTTGTTTTGGCTCGACACCCAGGTTCGATTTTTCAAGGCGCATAGCGGAGATACATAAGAGCGCTGCGCGCACCACCGTGCCTGCCTGAACTATACAGAGAAGCGACGACACACCCCGCCTAGTTCAGTCCACGACCCGTCACCACCGCTCCATACATTGGCGTGCTGTCTTTCAGGAGCAGCACAAGAAGCTCTTCACACATTTCCTGGCCCTGAACGGTCGCCGCCACACGCACATCCTCACTCTCATCCCCAGATCGCAATGGAGAACGTACAGGAATTTTTCGATAGCCGCTTCCGTAACTTCATGGCCTCGTTCTCGCGCCTGAAGCCCGAAGGCTGGATTCGCCTCATATGGATCGTGGGCGCCTACATGCTCCTTCGGCCCTACCTCATGAAACTCGGCGCCCGCGCGCAGGAGCGGCAACACGAGAAAGAATCGGCAGAAGCGGCTGATACCGGCGCAGAGCTGCACCCCAACGACTTGCGAGGAGGCAAGAAGGTTGCGATACCGGGTGTCGACAGCGACGATGAGGAAGAGAAGTCCGAGGCCAAGCCAGGACAGTGGGGCAAGAAGGCGCGTGTCAGGCAGAGGAAGCTCATCAGGGAGACGCTAGAGAAGGAGGAGAAGCGTCTGCAGGATGAGCAGGAGCAGGAGGACCTAAAGGATATCGCTGATTTGCTGGAGGACTGAGCTCACACCAGGATGAGCGACCTGGGTGGCGACTTCCGCGTGGTTGCTGTCACAAGCTGTGCGAGTTGGTTACGCAACGCTCCCTGGATTGCATGCCCCTCTGATCGACGCTGACCTGCAGTGCGCATGAGCGTCTCGGGTACCTGCATTCCTGTGTTTCTGAAGCACCCGCCAGGTATGTGGCGTATGCTGGCTGAGCAACCGACATGAGATGGCGAGAAACAGTGCGTATGAGAGCGACACTCAAGCAGAACAATCACTATCAACAAGTTTCAAATCCCTTTGCCCATGTACCTCATCCAACTCTTTCCAACTTTCCCCTTTTTCTTTTCTCTTTTCTCGTTTCATGATCTCAAAGTCACGTTTTCCCCTCCCAGCTTTTTTTTCCCTCACTCGTCAACGTCCCCACCCTTGGAATTCAACGCGTACACAGGCTAACCAACCCGCTCATTCCCTCCCCTTGCTGCACCCCTTAAAACCTACCCACGACCATGACCCAGCCAAGCCCGCAACCGTCCACGGTTCCTCCACGGCACCATGCCTCGACACATGTCTCTCCGCACACTATGTGCGCTGCCGCTTCTCCTCCCGGGCGCACTCGCCCACATGCAGATGCAAGAGCCCTCGCCCCTCCGCGACCCGCACTCAAACCGCACCGCAGAGCCAAAAGACTATAACATCCTCACCCCGCTCCACCCTGACGGCAGCGACTTCGCTTGCAAAGGATACCAATGGAACACCCCGCTCACTGCGGTGGCTCAGTATCAAGCCGGCAGAACGTACCCGCTCCGGCTTATGGGCGGCGCCACGCACGGCGGTGGCAGCTGCCAGATCAGCTTGTCATGCGACTACACACATTTCAATGTGATCAAAAGCATGGAAGGGAATTGTCCGATCAACAAGGAGTACGAGTTCACGATTCCAGACGATGTGCCAACAGCAGAAAAGTGTCTACTAGCATGGACGTGGTGTGTTCTACACCTATCAGCGGAGTAATGGTATATAAAGAAATGCTAATGCTGGACCCAGGTTTAACAAAATCGGTAATAGAGAAATGTATATGAACTGTGCAGTTGTCGACCTCATCGGCGCTGGTAGCTCCTCATCCTCCCGCCAGCGCGCCTCCACGAAAGTCTCCAGCGGGGCAGTAGCGCAGGCCGCTCTATCACGATACCCAGACCTATACGTCGCGAATCTGAAAGGCGTGAACGATTGCGTGACGAAAGAGACGGTTGATGTGGTGTTCGACAATCCCGGATCAGACGTCATATATGGCGACGGGCTCAGCGCGTCGTCTTCAAGAATCATGCGGAGGAAGGGATCGTGTTCTGGCGTTGGGAGGACAGCGGCGGGGTCTTCGAGCTCCGACTCAAGTAATTTTGGGGCGTCTGCTGGGTCCTCGAGTTCTAGCGACTCCGGGTCTTCGTCCTCTTCGAGTGGCACTTCGGCTGGCAACGACGGGATGTGGCATCCTGACCATAGCAATTCTGGGTCGTGGTCTTCTTCGGGTAGTTCTGGGTCATCTTCTTCGTCTGGAAACTCAGGATCTTCGGCGTCTTCGGGCAGCTCTACAGGCGGCGACGATGGTTTGTGGCATCCCGAGAAGTACGGCGGTTGGGCATCGTCTGGAAACTCAGGATCTTCAGCGTCTTCGAGTAGCTCTACAGGCGGCGACGATGGTATGTGGCATCCCGAGAAGTACGGCGGTTGGGCATCTTCAGGAAAGTCTGGATCATCGTCTTCTGGCGGCTCCGCGGGAGGTAACGATGGACAGTGGCATCCCGACGTGGGTTCTTCAAGTGGTGGCAGTGCACAGTCGCACCCTATGGCCATGAACTCTCCCTCATCTTCAGCGGAGGGCAGCAGTAATGCCGGGAAGTCGTCTAGCAGCAAATCCGGTTCATCATCCGCGCCCCACAAAGCACCAATGACACAGATCGAGAAAGAGCTTGCTGCATACCTCAAAAGCATCGGCGAGGACGACGATACATCCAGCGTTTCCCCCAGCGAAAGAGAAGACATCCCCAGCCCAAGAAAGGGCAAGCATTCCACACACGCGGGCGCGCAACGCATCAGCGCTGGCGAGCTTTTCCAATACAGCCCTGATCAGGGCTCCGATCCCAGTTTCAGGACGCAGCAAATCCACTCTCGCGAGCCGCCGGATAACGAAGAGCCAACTGGTGCTCCAAATGCGCCTGACTACGACTTCATTAACCACCAGGCTGAGGCTTCCTCCGACGATGATTGGCACCATTCAAGCCGTCCCAAGGATCACACCAAGACGCCCTCGTTCGAGGTGGAAGAGTCTTCCAGCGATGCTGCCAACAGGGAGAACTATGGCGACTATGATGATAGCGATGAACTTCCCGAGTTTCTCAAGGATCTCATTGGCGATTTCGATGACGAAGAGTACACCCCTGATGACGAGAGCGATGAGTTCGGCGGGCTTTATGATCGGCAGAAGGTGAAGGAGAAGAAGCACAGCTCTTCGAAGTCGAAGAAGGCGAAGCACAGCAAGACAAAGACCAGTAAGTGCATGACTGCAATTGATTTGGACTGACTACTGACTGGGTATTTTCTATTCAGGTGAAAATGCCGAGAGCACTGCAGTCCCGGAGTTCGAGGCATCCACAGCGGAAGATGCCGCAACGCCCACAGCCGACTTCGAATCTTCTAGTGCCGAGGACGCTGCTGCTACACCGACGAAGCTGATATCTCTATTTGACCTCATTGGTAAAGGCGATACGGCTGTTCCAGCCAACGGGTCCCGGTCGGTTCCTTCTTTCCCAGATGTTACCGCCTCTCCTACCGAGACGGAGCTTCCGACGGAGCTGCTTGCTCTGTTTTCGACAGTCTCCTCCAGCTCCACTACAGAGTCTGCCGGTCTTCCTACCGAGACCATCATCTCTCTCGACGAGCCGTCTGTTGGGGTACCGTTCACTCCCGCGGAACCCCTTCCCACAGAGGCTGCTCCTCATCCAGCTGCCCCCAGCGTTGCCGCACCCGGCGGTGCATGCACGCCAGGATCTTTCCTCTGCAACGGCGAGAAGCAATTCTGGGTATGTGGCCAATTTGGCGGCGATGCATGGACATACGGTGCGCTCCGCGATGTCTCCGAGGGCCTGGCCTGCAGAGACGGAAAAATCGACCGCCGCTCTCTTGACCGTCGGTCCGTAAGAAAAAGAGCTTTCGGATGGTACATCGGTCAAGACGATAGCAGCTGGGGCTCAGACGACGAAGACGAAAGCCCCCTTGACCCCATCATCGGCGCGATAGACACCCTCATCAGGACTGTACCAAAAGTGGCCACAGATAAGAAGAAGACACAGAGTGGTTATGTTCCTGGCCACAAGAACACCGACGACTGGTTCCAGCCGTATAAGCTCCTCAAGCGCAAACTCGGCTGGTGGATCTCCAGCTCTAACCCCAGCAATGAGGTCCCGTCCAACCCGCTCGTCACCATCACCGACAAGCTTAAGAAGCTCGAGTCCACGCTCGACTGGACTATCGAAGACCTAACTGCCTCAAAGGGCAAGAACAAGTCAAAGTCGAAGAAGCGCAGCTCCGGCTGGTGGCTCTCCTTCGGTGGCGACGACAGCAACAACAATGACAAGGGCTACTCGTCCTCCAACAAAGACAAGAGCGATACCGACCGCGACCCACTCGACGACATCCTCTGGCAAATCGACGATCTCTCCTCCAAATTCGAGAAACTAAGGAGCCTCTGCGGCTCCGACTCTAAATGGAAGCGTGGCTGGGGCTTCTTCGGACAATATGGCAAAGACGACATGAACAAGGAAGTCGCCAAAGGCCAGCTGGGCGACCCCTTCGAGCCCATCTTGTCGAAGCTGAAGGGCTACATCCGGCTTGTGCGGGGCCTGCTGCCGGGCGACAAAGGCAAGCCGCATGGAATTGGGTACGCGCACAGCCGGCCCAAGTTTCCCTGGGATAAGAAGGGATGGGCGGCTAGGAGGCAGATTGAAGCAGGGGAGGCGGGCGAAGGTGTGAGTGACCCGGGGGACTTTGGGGATTTCTTGGGCGATGGGGTGTTTGAGGATGTCAGTGACGAGGATGATGAGGGCGAGGACGAGCGTTCTGATGGGCTGCCGAGTGGGTCGTCTGAGGGTCCGGAAGATGGACCGCCTGAATCTGCGAATGGCGAGAGGCGCCCCAAACGGCCAAGTTCTCCGAAGAGGCCGAATCGTCCAGGGAATTCCTTCGCTACTATTCCTGAAGATTTTGACGACAAAGAGGACGATAATGATGGGCCGCTCGGCCGGGACGGAGAGAAGAGCTCCCCGAAAGCGGGAAATAAGACTTCAGGTAAGCCTCTCCCCTCAAACGTCGGTAAAGCCGCAGCTTTGGGACTGGGTAATGTTGTGGGTGCTGTGTCCGCTTCCCATGGGATTTCTCTTGTTCCTGGTGGCGATAGTATTAACGATGATGCAGCGGCCTCGCGCCCCTCGCAAGCTGCCGAGGATGAGGATGACTCTCCCAGTAGGTCCCACTTTGGAGTCAATCGATGGACGTCAGGCTAACAATCTCTCAGCCCCGTTTTCCGAGGACGAAGACTCAGAACGTTCCGTTCCCATTGACGATGACGATGAAGAAGAGGAAAGTGATGAGCCCGTCAAGCCCGCCTTCGATTCCAACATCTCCAAAGCGCCCAATCCCTTTGCTCCGGGCGGTGACTTCGCGCGCCCGGGCGACGCCCCAGACGGCTCTCCCCCAGAGGACTCCGACTTCTCAGACTCCGTCTCTTTCCCAGAAGATGATGAAGAGGACACTTCCTCAGACGCGCCCGACGACGTCGATTTTGCCTTCGACGATTTCTCCGCCAAGAAGCGGAAGTTGAGCAAGCGCCAGGACTACGGCGACGACGTGCAGGTCCCCGACTTCCAGTACAGCGACGGCGGCGACGGCGGCAATGGTATTGATGGCGTCGAAGATGCTGTCCAGGCGCTATTTGGGAAACATCAAGACGACGTCACGGCGGGGCCTGAGGACTCGAATGATGGTGATGCACCAGAGCAGCCGGCCCCGAAGTCAAGTGCGAAGACGCCTGCGAAGGCGGCTGCTACGGAGACAAAAGATGCGGTCAAGGACACTTCGGCCAAGGACACTTCTGAAAATGCGGAAGGTGACGCTCGGGATTCGGGCGACGAGAAAACTGGGGACGAGGCTAGCGACGACGATGCAACTGAGGAACAAGACACGAATGACGATGACGACGCCGACGAGGAAGAAGAAGATGACAGTTCGGATAATTCTACAGCGCGCAAGCTAAAACGAGACGATCATGTTGTACTCCCTGCTGGATTCAATTTCAGCGACGGGAGCAACGGCGGCGACGGTGTAGACGGAGATCCCGTTGCGCTGTTCGGGAACGAACCATCGGACTACGAGAAGAAATGGGGCGTTGCTCCTGAAGTGGAGAAGCAGCCACAGCCAGCTACTACGCCGCTGACCAAGCGAGATGATCCTATTCCTGATGGGTTTACCTTCAGCGACGGATCGAACGGCGGTGACGGCGTTGACGAGGATCCGCTCACAATCTTTGGCATCGAGCCATCCGACTACGAGTCCAGATGGGGAGTCTCCGACGAAGCTGAGAAGCAGTCATCCATCACACCGTTGACAAGGCGCGACGACCCCGTGCCCGCTGGCTTTAGATTTAGTGATGGTTCGAATGGTGGTGATGGCGTCGAGGAAGATGCTACCACTCTTTTTGGGGCCGAACCGTCTGATTACGAAGCCAAGTGGGGTGTCTCTGACAAGGTCGAGAAGCAGACTCAAGAGCAGCAACTCCAGCAGCAGCGAGAGTCATCGTCAAACCCTCACCTTTCAGATTCAGCATCGACTGAGAACCCTGATCTTCTAGAGATATTGCATGTTCCAGAGTTACCATTAGCTGAGGACCTTCCCCTTCCGGACCTTTTGTCAGATGAGAAGCCACCACTCCCACTTCCCGTGTCGAAGAAGAAGTTGAGGATTCTCTCCCCAGGCGGCCTGAAGCACCTTACCCAGCCAAGTCGCTTGGAGCTCAATAGTCCCGAAAGATATGACTGGGGCGAGAAGCGAAAGCGGCAGGCGGCTCCAGCACCAGCTACTGCTCCTCAACCTGCTGCAGGTCAAGCTCCTGCTCAGGCTCCTGCTGCAAACCCAGCGCCTCAGCAGGTAGCTCCGAATGATATTGTGCCTCTGGTCCCAAACACGCAAGCACCGGCGGATTTCACCTTCAGCAATGGCAATAATGGTGGAGACGGTGTCGATGACGACGTTATTGCTATTTTTGGCGACGAGCCCGCGGACTACGCACAGAAATGGAGCGTCGACGACAAGGCGGCACAGAACGAGTCTACTCAAATCGTAGATGATGTCAACACGACTTCGGCAACAGCACCAGTCGCTGCGACTAAGCAAGCTGCTTCACCCAAGCAGGTGGCCGACAGACAGGGAGTTCCTGTTCCGATGGGCAAGGCTAAAGCCTTCGACATCCGTCCCCGCCCAGCTGGTGCATCTGAGTCTACCCCCTCTCCGTCTGCGGTTCTCCCGGGCGTGAACGGCGTCATCAAAATGACTCCCCCGGGCCCTACAGACCACAAGGCAGGGCCTACACCCACAGGCTTAGGTTCCCCCGGTCCCAGCAGTCGTGGCTCTCGACCTGCGGCCGAGCTGAGCACCGCCCCGGTAGACATCCACGACAACCCCGACGCACCCGTATTTCTCCCGGACGAAGTCAAGGATTCAGAAACACCGGCAGATTTCCCTGAAGACCCTCTTCCCACTTCTCCTCCATCCAAGGGCAAGAAGGCCAAGAAGGATAAGTCAAGGCCCTCCGAAGAAGACGCAAGTACACCCGGCACCGGCTCCAGCGACACCCTCGAAGAATCAGCGCCCAGCCCCGTAAAAGGCAAGATCCACCCCACTGCCGATATCGTTCTTGTCGACCCTCTCCCTAGCTTCCCACCCTCCGTAAAGGCCAAGGCCAAACCTGCCCCCGGCTTTTTCGATTCCATCGACGGCAACTTCGACCCACTGGAGGATTCCAACGCCGTCCCTGAGGCTCCTCCGGAGGCCGAAGCCATCACCGGACCCATCGGCAAGGTACGCCCGCATGGTAAATCCGTGCCGAGTGCGCGCCCCAAGCCCAGCGGTCTCGATGTTACCGCCGATCCAAGTATACTGGACAAAGATGGTGGACCGGACGGCTTCACGCCGCTGCAGAATCAGCCTGGTGTTAGGCCGTCTGTCGCGATCCCTAAGATCAACGCCACGGAGGTCGTGTCGGAGGAACATGTGCCTGATATCTCGGTGGCGGGGCCGACGCCGAGTTTAGAGAGTTTGGGGCCGGACGAAGGTGAGAATGAGGATGAGGACGAAGAAAGTCCTGCGGAAGATGAGAGCGGGGAAGATGAACAGGGTGAGGACAGCGAGCCCACATCCGCCGACGACGGAGAGGGAGATAAAGACTCCGGCGACAGCAAGCTCGACGAAGAAGAAACGCTCCCCCTAACGCAAACCTTCATCGTCATCGCCTCCCCCGTTTCGGCGCCTCTGAACACCTCCGAATCCTCAAACACTACACCCCCCTTGTCCACCCCCACAACCACGCCCTCCGCTCCCTGGCGCGACGGCATCTTCCCTCATCACTTCCCCATCCCCGCCGACGCCGCCCCCACCTCCTCCTCAGACCTCGAATCCATCCTCCCGCTCATCCTGGGGCCCGGCCCCGTCGTTCCCCCAGGTGTGACGCTGCATTGGCCTGGGCCGTGGAATTTGCATCACCTGCCGCCCTCGCATTCCTCTTCTATCTCTCTGACTTCGGTATCACAACTGCCGGAGGATACGCTGGGAACTCTGCCAACAGGGTTGCCCACGACCGCGCCGCCGGTGTCGCAGGTGCCCAGTGTGGAGGAAAGTAGCGTGCCGAGTACGCTGGTGAGCGTTACCATTACAGGTTTGCCGTTGCCGGATGATCAGTTGGGAAGCCTGCCGACAGGTTTGCCGGGCGTGACTGGGAGTTGGCCGCCGCCGCTGCCCACGCTGAGGAGAGTCAGGAGAGGACATGCGGGGAGGTTGTAAGTGGATGCGGAGAAAAGAAAGGTGGTAAGACTCGATGATGAATGAAAATCTTGAACTGCATGAAGTGCGTGGGAAGGACTGGTCTTTTATTTGGGCGTTTGTACTTAGTTCGATTTGTAGTTGGCCATTGCATGTGTTCTGAATGGAGTTATCGGAGGGTAGAATTTTCGAGTATCTCGATTAAGGGTGTGTTTTGATGATTTGCGGCTTGTGCTATGCAGCGCGGCGATCTGAATTGTCTGGAGGTAGTACGGTGTGTGCCTACTCGCCCCTTAGCAACCTGATCTGCTCTGCTCTGCTCCCAGTGTCAGTAAGAGCTTCCACACTGACGTCCACACCTCTCTTCCTGCTGTAGATCTCCGCGAGCTGCACAGCAGCCATCAGAACTCCCCTGCAACTCCACCACGCCACATCATCCTTTTCCATACCCTCAACCCAAAAGACCTCCCAAGCACTTCTCCCTCGGCCCCTCTTCATCATACTTGATCGGCATCTTCGCCACCTCTCCACTCGGTATCCTAACTCTCTCCTCCCCACTCTCCAGGATCTCCTAGATATTCCTACACAGCAAGTCCAGCATCGTCGGCGCAACCTCTTGCCCAACAATCCCCTCCACGTACGTAAAGTCAACCGAGAACACCCCCTCTCACCGGTCTCGTCCAAATCCACACATCTGCAACATCGTGCGGCGGACTGGATCCCATCATCTCGCTCTCCCTACTCGCGCTTAGTACCTCCCCGAAGAACTGCTTCCCGAAGTTGGTATGCTGGCGAATGGAGCTGAAGCGCGTGGCTTCCGGCCACGCAGTGCAGCGCTCGATGATGGAACGCATGCTGTAGTTTTCGTGCGGCATGCTCGCGACATGCTGGTTTTGGATGAAGCGTAAGAGATCGGCGTTTGTCCAGGTATGTTGCAAGGGCACGCGCACGGTGAGAATGTTCAGGCTGGGCTCGACAACGTCGTGAATGGCGGAGAGGGAGCCGATGCGCCCTGATATCACCTGGCCGAAGACGGTATCTGGTGTGTATGCGAGGGAGGAGAGGACGAGGGCCCAGGCGGCTTTTACGGTGGTGGCGAAGGTGGTGCCTGCGGTGGTGTGGGGGGTGGGTGAGACGGTGCGATTAAGTATGCGGTTGACATGTGCGAGTCTTTGAGTAGCGTGGTCTAGTATGCGTCGGATTGGCGGGAGTCTTGTGTGCGGATACTGTAGATGAAGGTGGAGTAGGTTTGCTGCTCGAGAGTGTGGTGCCTTTGTAGGCGGCTTTGATAACTTGTAGGATGCTAGGCAGACTTATGCGATCGTACTGGGCGTGTGAAAGTCGGAGGACCAAGCGGTGGCTATTCTCGCTTTGCTTGACGAGAATGAATCGTATGATGTGGTCTTCGAGGCTAACTGGACGTTTCATGTCTCATTCGGTCAAAGGACGAGGCATGCCCTCGTCATTGCAATCCTTCTCTTCGCAACGAACATACTCCGCTTCGTACTTTTCGAGCACCACTTACATCAGCCGCTGGTTCCGGACGACGAAGACGGTCCGCAGAATCGGGTGGCGCCAATTACCGACTGATATGCGTTCTTGAGCTTTTTCGTATCCAGACCTGCATCGAATCGTATTGCGAAGTACTTCATGTATCTTCAAATCCAAAGGTGACCAGCAGCCAAAGTCCACTATTGATAGTCCGTTGCCTCGAGCACATCCCGGATATCTTTGGTCGGCTGAGATGTCTCTTCCGCAATCTGTCCCAGTGCAGCCAGCGGCATCGAATCGACCAAGATAAACATTGTCGGGACCATGTATGCAGGTAACGTGTCAGTGATACTGCTTGTCAGAGCAATCAGCTCCGAGTGCACATACCATCCGCTCTGACCTAGAAAGCCAGAGTACATCGTCGAGCAGGTGGTCGCAATATAGTTCACGGACGAAGGAGGGTATAGCGATGATGCTGAGAGTTGTCGTTAGTGTTGTTGTTGGTGGGGGGATGCTTTTTTGGCCGCTGATGCAGTGGCGGGGTCAGGGAGCTAGTTGAGCATGCTAGAGAGGGTGTTTGGGGCGATGGGACAGAAGTGCGTCTCCTTATCGTTGTCACCGGTTGAGAGAAGGCAGCAGGTAGCGCCGGAAGCGAAGCACAGACGTATGCCGGTGATTCATCAATACATTGTATTTCTAGAGTAATATGCCGTTGGCTTCAATGCCTTGTTTCGTTTCCTAGCCTCATGTGCTGAGCCGCCTGTGCGACAGCAGTATGCTCTCATACATCATGTCGTCATGCAAGTATATGTAGATTCACTTGTTCAGCTCCTCGGCGCGCTTCTTGAGCTCCTCCTTGCTCGCGGGCTCGCCAATGTTCTCGGCTTGGACCGGACCCTGCGTAGGATCAGTATCAGTGTGCTGGATCTGCTGGAGTGCGGTGATGTTTAACGTACAGGAGCACCCTTATGTGCCATCGCGGACGCGGTGGAGCCACCAGAGGAAGCGCCAGTGTCCACGTCGTGGTGCTGGTGGGTGGATGCGTTTGAGTCGGAGGACTCCTTGGCGACTTGGTCGGTGATGCCTGGACGATGATAGTCAGCACAATTCACCATCTCACGAGCACACTGCACAGCAATAGGATGCCTCGGACGGCGAGTGAGGCGCGGTACGTACTGCCAGTGGCGTTCTCTTCGGCGGGGTGGACAGGCATGTTTGCTATTTGTCTTGCTGTTCGGTCTTGCGGGCGTAAACTGGAGGGGGGCGTTGGGGCTTCTTTTCGTCGAGCTTTAACTCTTCGAGTTGTTCTGTTGGTTCTGTAGGTTTGGCGTCGTCGGCTTTCAATTGAGAGACGATGTCGATTTTACTCGCGTAGTATTCCTCGATCAGTTTGCGTGCAGAGTCTGAGGATAAGGGAGGCGGCATGTTTATATGTCTCACGCGGCTTAGCACGTTGTTGGTGACGTAGGTATGGTGGAGGTGGCTATTGGTGGGGTGTCGCCGCCCAGATGTTGCCCAGGCGTATGTGAGCATGCGCTAGGCAAATGCGGGGAAACGGTCACGTGATGAATATACCGTTATCCAGGCATGCAGCTGCAACGGGTAGCATAGCATAGTATGATCTGGGTACGATGAAGAAACTTTGTTGGTGGTTGAAGCTACGGAGACGGCGAGGACCGTGAGTGTGCGCCCAGGTTTTTGAATAGAAAAGGCAAGTATATGTTGACATACAGCCCTAGAGTGAGAGCCTCTTACTCCTGCTGCCATGTGGTGGACTGATTAATCTGGACTGGAGTGGTGCCGTGACTTACAGCTCTTGTCTGGATATTGGTCCCAGATGCTTAACGACTATGGGGCATCGAGTCAAATTACACAGGAGGTAGCCGCATATCAAACACCGTGTACCGTGTACCATAAACTGACTAAAAGGATGGCTCGAGTTATAGACAACGGAAAACGCAATTATAGAGCTCTCAGTTCATCTGTTGTGGAAAGTAGTCATTGCGGCGTTTTTGCGACTTTTGCGGTGTTCTGCTAACGCTTCAGTGCGGACAAATTTGCAAAGCTCGGCGATGATCCACTTTCATTCCCCACAAGCTTCAAAGAATCTCCAAAAAGTCTGAGCCCTTGATGCCGCATTGTGGTCGGGCAATCGTGTGAAAGTGACTTCATATAGTACAAGTTCTAGAGGAGACATAGCTAGAGTCCTTGTATAGTTTTGTATTGACAATCCTTGAGGTGGTGGTGCACTCTCACTCAGGGTGCATGATGGCTGAGAGATGTTTGGAAGTAGCGAAGGGACAAGAAGCGGAAGAAAGAGAGGCTCTGGGTGGAAGACAACGGGGAGGGCCGACGCTAGGGCACGTGACACCCGCTCCAAGCTTGGCGGCCAGGCAAGCTCGCCGCGTAGACCAGCTGTTGCGCCTTAAGCTCCGACAGCACCTCGATCCCGCCTCACCCAACTCTACCTGCTATATACCTCTCGGTTGCTCCTCGATACCTCCTACCTTGAGCGTACGCTGCTGTCGACGCACGCATAATGGCCGACCGATACTCTTTCTCGCTCACCACATTCTCGCCCAGGTAAACACCTCTGGTCCCCTCCAAGACCATTCGCTAACTGTGATGCAGCGGAAAGCTAGTGCAGATAGGTATGGACTTCGCGCGGGAAGCTTAGCATAGGTGCGAAACGGCGACTAACGGCACTCTAGAGTATGCCTTAAATGCGGTCAACCAGGGTGTCACCTCTCTAGGTATCAAGGGTAAGTCTACATCCATGCATTGGCCGGCCTCTACTAACGACTTCGATCAGCTACAAATGGCATCGTTCTCGCGACCGAAAAGAAGTCGTCATCGCCGCTCATCGATTCGTCGTCATCATCGAAAGTCAGCTTGATCACCCCCAACATCGGCATGGTCTACTCTGGCATGGGTCCGGACTACCGTGTGCTCGTCGACAAGGCGCGCAAGGTCTCACATACCGGGTACAAGCGCATCTACAACGAGTACCCGCCGACGAGGATATTGGTCCAGGACGTTGCGCGTGTTATGCAAGAAGCGACCCAGTCGGGTGGTGTTCGGCCGTACGGCGTCAGCCTGCTGATTGCGGGGTGGGATGATGGAATCGAGCCGGAGTCAGAGACCAAGCAGACCGAGGAGGAAGCGGACGCAGAGAGGAAGAAGATCACCGGCAAGACCGGCGGCATCCTGAAGGGCGGACCCAGCCTGTACCAGGTCGACCCCAGCGGTAGCTACTTCCCGTGGAAAGCGACGGCCATCGGCAAGAGCGCAACCAGCGCGAAGACATTCCTCGAGAAGAGGTACACCGAAGGCTTGGAGTTAGAGGATGCTATCCACATTGCCCTGCTCACGCTCAAGGAGACCATAGAAGGCGAGATGAACGGCGACACCGTCGAAATCGGGATTGTTGGCCCGCCAGAGGAGCGATTACTTGGTGTCGAGGGTGTCGAGGGGGCTGTCGGACCTCGCTTCAGGAAGCTGAGTCCGCAGGAAGTCGAGGACTACCTGACGAACCTGTAGAGTGCGGAATGAATTGGCAGCTGCACCTTGGGTGCACATGTTACGATAGACCGACCGCCGGCGCTCACGCAGGCTCGCTCTGGCATATGACGAACACGAAATAGATGGCATCTGCAATGTGCATCTACATTTCGCTTGAAGCTCTGTGATGTGGCATGTCACTTGTGGAACGCAGGTTCACCCCAGAACCTGTCCTGATCAGGCCTAGTGCAGGCTGTACCTGCCCTTGATCGAGGTCGAGGACGCCACTCATTCTTTCCATCCGACACAACAAACTCTTCGTGACAGATATTGATGGAGCTCGCGAACGGTCCTCAGCATAAAGACGCACCTATCGGTCAAGATGTAGAGCATGCAGGAATTCGGCTACGCACATATCAGGCTGAGATGCTTGAAGCGAGCCTCAGAGAGAATGTTATCGTAGTCCAGGACACAGGCAGCGGCAAAACCCATATGTTCGTGGGCTTTTTTTTGGTCAACTTTTTTTGCTCTTCCGCTACTGACACTTGTGTAGAGCTCTAGCCCGGACAGCTGCGGAGCTCGAAACCTGCGATTCTAACCAGGTTCGTCCAATCAGCTATTATGTTGTTCACGCAAGACCTGACCTAAGCCAGCTCGTATGGTTCCTCGCCCCCAACATAGCACTCTGCGAACAGCAATTCAAAGTCTTCAAGTCAAGCCTTCCAGCGTATGAGACACAACTCCTTACTGGGAATGATAATGTCGACCACTGGACTGACCAAAGGACCTGGGATGCCGTGCTTGCTAATGTCCGTATTGTGGTGTCTACGCATAAGGTCCTTCTTGATGCATGCGATCATGGATTCGTGCGAATGAGCAAGCTGGCTCTACTTATATTCGACGAAGGTCAGAAACCATGATATTATGCTTGCGTACAAGCTAACACTTGCTAGCACATCGTACGTTTCCGGACTCTTTTTTCAGAGATTACTGCGCTGACATATTAGACTGCACTGGAAATCATCCTGCCAATGTATTATTGGCTGGTCACTATTTACCGAGACTTCGAGAGGGCGTGTATCTGCCTAAGATACTTGGGCTCACCGCGAGTCCAGTGATGAAAGCGAAAGTAAATGACGAGGCACTAGAGTGAGTCTTAAGATGTGTCAAGCAAGACGCTTCTGACAAAAACAGAGTGATTGAGAGAAATCTCAATGCGATCACAAAAACACCGAAGATACATCGTAGGTTCTCTTGGCAGGATTAGCAACACAGCTCATGCTTATGAACGATTAGGCTCTGAGCTTCTTCGCTTTGTGCATAAACCGCAGCTCATCCGAATTAGTTATGCCCCCACTGTCGAGATGGTTTCTCCTATTTTCGCAGAGCTAAGTTCGCAGCTCATGAACTACGACATACACAGTGATCCCTACGTTTTGGACTTGCTTGACAACCCCATCAAGTACCACAACGCTAAAAAGAAGTTGGAATATGCATACTTCAAGCATGAAACTTACAGCTTCAACGAATTGAAGACTCTGAAGACCAAATATGAGGCCACTGCAGCAGAGCTAGGGCCCTCTGTAGCCGATTGGTGGTTACAACAGAGCATCGCCCGGTTTCGGAAGCGTGTAAGACACCCTAGCTTTCGATGTGAACAGTGCCCAGGCTGACAGTCGCGTGAGATCCACTCCTCTGGTCAACTACTCGATTGGACTCACGCGGAGATGGAACACCTCCAGAAAATTCTCGGTCGACTTCCCTTGCCAACGGACTACGCCTTTAGACCCATGTCGCTTAACAAATTGTCAAACAAGGTCGAAGCTTTAGTTGATCTTCTCGCATCCGAAGCCAACCCCGGCTTGACAGGTCTCATCTTTGTGGAGCAAAGAGTCTGGGTTGCCGCTCTGGCCGAAATCATTTCGATTCACCCAAAGCTACAGGGTAAGCTCAACACAGGGACATTTGTGGGAAGTTCTGTGTCATCAAAGCGGAAGTCCAGCATCGCCACCATGATCGAACCAAAGAACCAGCAGGATACCCTGGATAAACTCAGAAGCGGGGACATAAACTTGATCATTGCGACTACCGTCTTGGAAGAAGGCATCGATGTGTCAGCTTGTCATCTTGTTATTTGCTTTGAAAGTCCCAAGAACCTCAAGTCGTTCGTGCAGCGCCGTGGGCGGGCAAGAAGAATGGAGTCAAAGTACATCATATTCTCGCCGGGCGGAGTAGGTGATCGAGCTCCATCATCGTGGGAGAAGCTTGAGCAAGAGATGAGAAACGCATATGAAGATGATCTGCGTCGCGTGAAAACTGCTGAGCAAAGGGAAATGGTTCATGAAGTGGGTGAGCGGTTCTACCGAGTCGCAAGTACCGGGTACGTCTTTGCGTGTTTGCCCCACTGAACAAACTTACTCACGTATATATAGCGCTTTACTTACGCTCGAAAACGCCATACCACATCTCTATCACTTCTGTGCTCTCCTCAGCTCCGATCCGTATGTTGATACCAGGCCACAGTTTGGGTTCGAGGACGACAAAGGTAACATCGCAGCTGAAGTCACACTCCCGCTTGCCGTCGATCCCGCATTGAGAGTAGTGCGTAGCCTGCAAACCTGGAGAACAGAGCGCATGGCCGCGAAAGATGTGGCATTTGAAGCGTACAAGATGCTCCATGAAAGTGGGCTGGTAAGCAACAACCTTCTGCCGGTGAAAGAAGAAGAGGATGCCGTGGCCGCAGAGTTCCAGAAATCGGACCGAACCGCTTCGATGATCGAAGTAGCCCCTACCCTCGATCCCTGGCATCGCATCGCGACTTCCTGGGAGCAAGACCAGCACAGGTATTATCGCACAACATTGGAGTTCCAGGGCATGCAAGAGCAAACTTTCTACATGAACTTCTACCTTACTGTGCAACTGCCAGTTGTACCCGACTTCACTTTGTTCTGGAATGAATCTAAGCGCATAACCGTAAGAAGTCATAGGCAACCGGAAGTCGCACTGTCTGACAATGAACTCTCTACAATGCGTTACATCACTCAAAAGATTCTGAATTCAGCTCATGGCACACGCATCGATCAGTCACGCTGCGATTTTCTCTGGCTTCTCGTTCCGACTGATGCGTCCCAATCGAGCTGGGGTCTTGACAAACTCTTGAAATGGAAATTCGATACAGATGGGTGTTTAGAAGCTTCAATCGTGTTGAGCCAACGCACGACCGATCTAAATCAATGGGGCCAAGTCAAGGTCCAAGGCGATGAGCGGAATTGGCTGCCGAGATCCATCGATTTGCCCACTGCAGACTCTACTTCCGGACAAACAGCCAAGCTACGTGTCTCAAGGGTCCCCAAGCGGCGCGATTTTCTGTACCCAGTGCCAAAAAGCCAGCGGCAAAACGAGGCTTATACGAGGATAGAGGAGTTTCCTCTATCTGAGTGCCTCGTGGACATGGTTCCAGTTGCCTATCTTGTCTGCGCCTTGCTGATGCCAGCAATTCTGTATCGCTACGAAATGTACATGACGACAAATACACTACGCCAGGGTCTCCTTGCTCCCTTAGCATTCGACGAGGTGGAGGATCTGCCTCTACTGGTCCAGGCGCTGACATCTTCGAGTACGGGGGACATTGCTCATTATCAAAGGTGGGTCTGACCGAACGCAGAGCTGTGAAATGGCATTTAATTCATCTTCCTATGCCTTTAGCTTCCCTCGTCCCGGCACTTCAGTCATCAGCTAACGACGGACACCGATAGACTCGAGTTCTTTGGCGATTGTATTGTGAAATTCATCTCCTCTGTTCACCTTATGGCAAGTCACCTGAGGAAGCCCGAAAGCTTCCTCACGGGAAGGAAAGGTACGTGAGAATTTCCGTATCACTGGGTGTGTCTAGGTTTATCATCTTCTGAAAATGGCGAGGATGTTCAGGTCCATGGTCTACCGTTCGAGCTACCGTAAAGTTTCTACTAAGACAGACATCTTCACAGGCAAGATTGTTTCGAATGGCTTCTTCGCGCGCGCAACCCTTGCCTGCAGCCTTGACAAATTCATCATCCGTAAACGCTTCACAGGCGCAAAATGGAGACCTCGCTACGCCGGTGAGGTGCTCTACGATGACACCCCACCCGCCCAATCCAATATCTCCTCTAAAAATCTGGCCGACGTCATCGAGTCCCTCGTTGGCGCCTCCTACCTCATTGGTGACTTCCCCAAAGCCCTCACCTGCATGCAGACGCTCCTTCCCCTCGAACCTTGGACCCCCGTCCCAGACGCAAACCGCATCCTCTACGAGGCCGTCCCCGCCGGCGTAATCATCACCAGCCTCACCACCGTAGAAATGCTCATCGGATACACCTTCAACAAAAAGCTGGCTCTCTTGGAAGCTCTAACGCATGCATCATACAAAGGCCCACTGGTAAATTGTTCCTACGAGCGTCTCGAATTCCTCGGGGATGCAGTGCTGGACTACATCATCTCACGCCGGCTCTACTCGCACACGCCTGAGCTCGGACATGCTAAGATGCACGGGATTCGCACTGCTATGGCGAATGCGGCGTTCCTAACGTTTAGAATGTTCGAGACAACAGTGCCGGAGGAGCGCACGATACCCCCGGACATGCACAAAGAGGTGCACCATCGGTGTCTATGGCAATTTTTGCGGTCTGATACTGCAGCGCTGGTGGCTACGCGGGATGCAGCGATCGCGCAGTATGATGCTGCGAAGGATGCTATCAGGCATGGTTTACAGCATGAAGTTGTGTTTCCGTGGCATATCCTTGCGTTGACGGACAGTCCTAAATTCCTTTCCGACATTGTTGAGTCGGTGCTTGGGGCTATCTACGTAGATAGCCAGGGCGATATTGACGCATGCGAAGTATTCGTTGGAAATTTTGGTATTCTGGGTTGTCTAGAGAGGATTCTGAGAGATGGAGTCGATTGCTTGCATCCGAAGGAGCGACTGGGGATTCTTGCGGTCGAGAAGGACGTGCAGTATGTTGCGGTGAGTGAAGATGAGGCGGTTAGCGGCGCGAAGAGGAAGCACAGGTGTCAGATTCGGGTTGGAGGGGTGGATGTGGGCGGTGTGGTGGAGGGTGTCAAGAGGTTGAATGCGGAGACTGTGGCGGCGTGGGAGGCCTGCAAGGTGTTGAAGGAGAGGAAGGAGATGGTAGGGGACGCGAATGAGGATGTGGGTATGGAGGGGGTGGCTGAGCCGAGTGAGGATGAGGAGTGGTTTGATGCCGAGGAGGGAGGGATAAATTTGAGTGACGAATAGTGGAGGATGGTAGTCCGCCCTGCATCACGCGACTTTGTTCCTAGATAAATTGCCTATTCCGAACGCAACTGAATGAATGGGAGGTGACCAATGCTTCAAATCAACACTTGTCTCTCAACAGAAACGCAGACTGACGACGGTGGCAGCGGCGGCAGCGACGGCAGTGACGGTAGCGACTCACCAAACTTCAAGATTCATTTCCATTGTCGTGTCAGTATGAATCATCTCAATCAGTCTCTTGCTTCATATGTACTTGTCTTCACTGCGCGGGCACGATCCGCTAGGCAAGGCGTGGTAACGTCAACTTCCCCTTTCCAGCACATGCTCTTCTCTTTTTCAACATGTCCACACGACAAAATCTACGACTAATTCTAGAGATAAATCATCGTGAGTTGCAATAGAGCGTGTTAGAAATGTGTGAGGACACGTCCATGTTGACTGATGCGGATGTGGGTTGATGATTAGCTGAACCGTGGTTCGTCCCAACATGACCATCATCACTACACCGCTGACGCGCTCACGCGCTATGTTCTCGACCACCGGTAGCCGCCAGCAGTCCCAATGTCATATCCGATATGATTCGTTCTGGTTTGGTCGTTACTCTTTGTGTCTTCCATGCTGAAGCTCCCTCTACGAGGAAGCGGACAAGACCCAGGGGTGAACACCACGACCTCGCGGCACGTCACCGTAGCAATTTGGGCAGAAGCCCCTACTGATTCAGCTTCTACATACATACACCACTCAATCGCAGCGACGCACCCAATTCATCCCACTCTACGTTTTCAAAATCCCCGCTGCCACCAATACCGCATCCGCCGTCTTCCCGACCCACTCCTGCGCCGCCTCAAAATCCTTCGCAAACGTCACGCTCTCCGTCACCCCTGGGAACGTAACAGGCGCATACCCTGTATCTAGGCCCGGTGCAAAGAGCAGATTCTTGTAGTACTCTCTGCCGGCCAAACCGCCCTGGCTGACGAAGCCCCGAGAGAAGTCGCGCGCCTTGTGGTTCACGACTGAAATAAGCCCCGTGTCGTTGGTAAGTACGGCCTGCGAGCGAAGCGCGTTGAATTCCTGCGCCGCGGAGGCGAAAGTGGATATCGCGGAGGATAGGGCAGAGAGATCGATGGTAGCGTTCGCCTCAGCGATGGTGTCGTTTAGATCCGAGAGGTAGGATTCCAGCTCCGGGACGTAGTCCGCGGGCTCGAGGGGCAGGACGGCGTCGGAAGAGAGGTGGTACGCGAGAAGCGCAATGTACTGCCCGATAGCCTTGTGCGTGTGGAAGCCTGGGTCGCCAAACACAGACATCCAGTGGTAGGTGTCGTAGTTGGAGTGGTAGTGGTAGATGGGGTCTGTAGCGCCGCCGCCGGCGCCGAGGTCGAGAGACGCGATACCGCCCGTGTGCACGAAGGGGACGAAGTCGGAGCCAGCGCCGAGGACGCCGAATTCGCCGGAGACGTTCTGCCAGACGTCGTATAGGGTTTGCGAGGCGGAGCCAGGGATAGGGTAGATTACTTTCTTCATGACGGACATGGCGAGCTGGTGCAGATCGGGGGTCGCATCTGTGTAGGGGTAGGGACCGGAGACTGCAATGTCGACGTTGAGGTAGGACACCGCGGCAGTCTTGAGCCACGGGATGTACTCCTCGACCCACTCTGTGCTACCGATGGAGCCGTATTCTTCGGCGTCCCAGGAAGCAAGAATGATAGTGCGGGTAGGCTTCCAGCCAGTTTGCAGCAATTTTCCAAAGGCCTTGGAGAGTTCGACCAACACTGCTGAGCCGGAGTTGGGATCTGAAGCTCCGCCCACGATCCAGGCGTCTCGATGGTTACCAAGGATAACGACCTCGTCTGGGTTGGTGCCGTTGATAATGCCGATGGCGTCCCAGATGGTGGTGTAATTCTCTTTCATGACATTGGAGAGGGACAGACTCGCGCCAGAGCCTACACCCGTGCTGTAGTCGGCGCCTGGAATTGCGCCAACCCACTTCGTACGATTCACCTCCTCACCACTGGTACCGTGACCGTTCAATGCCTGCAGGAGTGGCTGGGCCTCCAACCAGGAAACAGGTAGAGAAGGAATATAGGGCAGGTTGATGCTTGTGTCTGCGCGGGGAGAATCCTTCTTCGACGCGTATCCAGGAGTAGTAGGATCGCCAGGGTAAGTGCTAAGGAATTGTACACTTCCTCTCTGCACTGAAGTAGGGTTGCGGGCTGGGCCGTCTGGATAAGCAGCATAGCCGTTGGCTTCAGTGATGTTGCCATCGTCCCCAGGATCCGTGAAAGTAATAACGCCGATCATTCCGTTGTCCTGGGCGTTTTTGACTTTCAACCCTCGGAAGGGTCCGCCGTATTTAGCCAGAGCAATTTTCCCCTCAAGCTCGACACCAAGCTCTTTCAAGCGCTCAAAGTCTACCTGCTGCCCTCTTCCGACGTAGATATACTCAGCTGAGGCGTTGCCCGTCGGTGAATAACCGTGGAAGGTCGGTATCCGGTTTGGATAGCTCGTCGCTACAAACAGATTTAGAAGGCTGTACACACGGGGTTGGTAGACTACTCACTATCGTCTGCCGCCAATACTGCTTCTTCCAGAGACGCTTCCCACGTGCTGCCATTTGCATAGGTAAGGGTCAGTGAATGCGAAACTGGGTAATTGAGAAAGACATCTGTGGCTTTTAGTCGCAATTCCAACGCAGAATGCAAATGCACCTACAGTATTCGTCAAGTCTTGATGTAAACCCATTCTCAGCCCATCGGTCGGCCGTCCACTGGGCTACGGTTTCATTCGTTCCAGCAAGATGAGCTCCGTGCCTAGATTCCCATAAATCTACGACATTCCTACGGCATCGTATTTCGAGTCTACTTACGCTGCGCAGAACAGTCAGTAGGTGCTTTCATCTGGCGGAAGTAGACTTACCGTAATAGTAGGACCAGGTCGAAATTGTTGTGTTATCGAACGAATTCACGATGATTTGTTCATTGTGATCCAATACCGGTGGGAAGGTGACATTCGTGTCTTGTCGTTTCGAATGCCGATGTGGATGCCTGGCGATTATCTCCTTCTGGCAAGCCTGAACGCTTGTCACGGCCGCAAGCACATGGATCAATTTCATGTTGCACGACACTTTTGACACAAAGAAAACTTGGTACGAGCGCCGGAGCTACAACACCAAAGTACCAACGGCACAGCAAGTACTTAACAAAGACTCGGAGAGATAACGTTAATTGCGGCTTTCCTTTGTCGGGCTCGGTACGAGAGCCAGACGTAATTGACGCTGCAGAGCACGCATCTGCTGGATTTAGGCATGGTCCCGTATGTCCATTGGGCAGAATCTTCCTGCATTGGGCAGGTGGTAGGAAATCTTGCGCGGGGTGAAGCTTTCTAATTTCGCCTTGGCATGCCGGTGATCCCTGAGGGGTTCCGGAAGCGCACAAACGGCGCCGTGGGTTCAAAGAGCGATTGCATGGCGCGGTAGTGCGAGCGTACTCTGTTCCGGTATCATTACGAGTCCTGCCTGCATTCTGTTGGAGTCTGGTGGGATTCCGGCTCCCGGAGTAGAATGCGGTTGCATGCAGTCTCGGACTAGGCATCGGGACATGACCAACCGCCGGACGTCAACTACATACGACGCGATCCGTCCAATGATGTCTGCAATCCAAAACGGTTCGCAAAGCTATTGTGTTGGGTAAGACCGCGAGGTGACGACAGTCACGTCAACGTGCGTCGAGTGTCGGTGCGGCGTGGTTCGCTGGCGATCAGGAAGCTAGGCTCGATCGAGCCCCTGGCCTAGCAATCGGTTGTGCAGGCCTACTGTCGCGGGTAAACAATCACAATCAAACTGTCTCGGACGGTCAACACAAGCAGGGAGATGGGGACGGACTAACAACTAACATTCACAGCCACAGAAACAGAAACACGGAGGGAATATTTTCTGCTTATACAGCCGTGCTGCTCCTACCGGCTGCCCCTCGCGCCTCCCTCATGTCCCAGTCGCTCTTTCCGCATAGCAACCATGCTGTCAAATCCGCCCCGTCTCCTGGCGCCCGAGTCGCCCTACCGGCGGCCATCATCGCCCACCATGTCGCCAGGAGTCCGTAAAGGCCGCGCCCTGGGAAGCGCCGACGAGAGTCACCTGCGCGATCTGTCGCCGGATACAACGCTGCGCGCCTTCACCCAGCGACCGATGCCGTACGATGTCACACGGGACGAATACAAAATCTTCTCATGTATCGAGAACCTCACGCCCGCAGAGAGAGATCTAGGGACGCGGGTGGCCAAGGCAGCGCAGCGATTGAAGAGCTGGTGTGACGAGATCAGCCAGTGGGGATGGTCTGGCTCCTTTGAGCAGCCCAGTGAGGAGTTAATGGAGCGCCGGCGGAAGAGTCTTCAGCTGCGCATCGAGGAGCATTTGAAGCATGTCCCGGCCAGCGACGACCTTGCTCAGCTAGAATACTGGGGTTCGCTGCTGTCGGTCGAAGTACAGGCCCACGAAGCCCGGCTGGACGAGATAAGCGACGAACTGATAGCGCTCGATGTGGAGGAGCTGAAGGGCCATGTGCTGGACATGCACCCCGGAAGCCGGTCGCGTCCGTCGTCTGCGGGCTATGGGGCGAGCCGCATTAGCTACAAACCTATGGACGACTTCAACTTCCTCATCACTCATACCCTCATTTCCGCGCTTCCACAACACTTCCGGCTCAAGGAGCGCCTGCAGACATGGACGGCCCGCGTGACCGTACTTCGCGAAGCGCCTCGATACCTCGATGATCTCAAGACAGCTCAGAAAGCGATGCGCTTGGGTTGGGAAGCCCTCGGGCCGCCGAAAGACCCTTCCGATGACGCGTTCGAGACGTGGAAGAAAACCGTCGACACAATCTCGGGCGTCATGCGCGATAGAGTCAGTGACCTGGGGCGTCGGTTAGACAAGATGCTGGACGCACTGGAGGGACATGAAGATTGCCTGCCTGACCGCTGGATCGATGTCTTCGAAGGCGTGGAGGGCGACTTTGGGCGATGGACGCAGGAGTCGAGAAGAAAGGTCATCGAGTTTGGCGTGCGGAGGCATGCTAGCCCTAGTACCGACACCAGGGAACAAGGCGGGCCAGTGGCACAACCTGACAATGTTGTTGCAACCGCACGAGCCGACAACATTGGACGCTTAGTTGAAGAGCACATCAGTACTTCTAGCAAAGGACACAAAAACGACCTCCGGTCGATCACTGCCTTTAGGCCGGACATCAATATTGACCAACCCCGCCTTGTACTGGATACCGCGGTTGATGAAACACCGAACTATGCGGAAACAGAAGAGGTCATCCAAGATGATGAGTCCATGTTCGAAGAAGGGGACACAGTCATTCACAACGAAATCGAAGAGGACCATGCCGAAGTCGTGCAGTCGAGCTCTGAATCGATAAGCCCTACGGAGTCGCAAATCATCATTACCAGCGAGGATGGCGCTCAGACACCTCTTCGGCCTCACACCCCTCGTTCACGCCGAGAAAGTATGGAGTCGATCGCTTCAGACATGTCATACTCATCCAGTCCTCCCAGGGCTTTCAGTCCATCGCCCTCTGTACGTAACACCACAAATCGGACGGCAAGAGGTCCTCGGCCTGCCCTCAACGCATCGATGCCCAAACGACGAAAGAACGGGGCAGAACCATCTGCAGAAAGCACACCATGGCCACCAACACAGTTCTCTCACACGACTCCGACCACAGCCGACGACTTCGAGAGAAAGATATCCGATGTCCTCTCCACCATCCCTGCCCACATCCGGCTTACGTCGAGATACGGAGCTGATGCTCGTAATCCAAAAGCTTCACGCGTGGTGTCTCACAAAGGTAGTAAGGGATATCTCCGCGCTGCACGTTCAGTCAGCAACCTGAAGACTCCCGAGCTTACTTTGTCACCCGTGAAGGAAGATTTCGACTCAGCTAACGTGATCTCAGGCAGAAGGTCCATGGCGTCATATCGCGTTGACACCGACATCCGCATGTACCACCTCACACAGCCTGGCAAGGAGCATCCTGTCAAGCTGTTCATCCGCCGCGTGGGAGAGAACGGCGAACGTGTCATGGTCCGCGTGGGTGGCGGCTGGGCCGATCTTGGGGAGTACCTCCGGCAGTACGCCGAGCATCATGGCCGTCGAACAGCCAGCAACGGCCAATTCGAGATTCTAGGCCTCGAGGTTGGAGCGGAGCCGTCGCCGCGCCCGGAAAGCGTCATGAGCGCCCGCAACAGGCGCGTCAGCAGCGGCTCGCAGATCATCACCCCGAGCACCACGCCCAACAGACCGTCTACGCGCGCAGGCATATCGACAAACGAAGCCCCCCCGCCCATGCCGCATTTGTCGCCCACGCCCACCCCGACCAGCAGCAATGAGACGTCCGCCACGCCGTCGTCGAGCGAGAGCAGGCGGTCGTGGCGCGGACAGGAAGTCGGGCTTGCGGGCCCCAAGTCGAAGAAGATCGACCTCGACAACGAGAAAGCGGAGTGGGTCGAGGGCATGATGAAGCAGGCGCGCAGCGTGAGCGGGAATCTCGTACATCAGTTTTCACCCCAGGCGCCGCCGCATGGTGCGCGTGGGGAGAGCCGCAGTGAGAGTCGGAGTGAGAGCAGAACGAGTGTGAGGGGGCAGTCGAGCTTTGGGGATTTGGGGAAGGTGGGGGGCACGAAGAGGATTTTTATGCGTGGGAGCAATGCGGTGCAGGAACATTAGGGGGTTGATTTTGCGTGGTGGGATGGATGGATGCATACATTGATATACCCTAGGACTGGACTCGGATGGCATTTTATTGTGTTGGCTAGATTGGGATGGTATTAGGGATAGGGATGGCATCACTTAGGCGTTTATACCCTCATGAAGGCGCTACTGGCTACGCTTCACTGGGTGCGGGATTTTTGTTCATCATTTCTTGTGTATAGTTATCACGACAGCGGGAGCAACACATGCCAAGTCAAAGTAAAGCAGAATCTCATTCATCTGTAAGTGAAGAGGGTATATTCCACCCATCCCAGGCTAACCCATCCCATTCCGCAAAACGCCAAACGCCTGCGCTGATGCTGAACCTGTCACTTTTCCTTGTGCCTTTCCGAAATCTCTTCCTCCGTTATGCCTTGCGCGCAAAGCGCGCAAGCGCGGGCCCGTAGCTCTCCTGGTCCTTCTTCAGCTTTGCGGCCAGCTTGGCATCGTTCCTCGCCAGCGCCTCCCTTGCGCGCACCTTCTCCTCGTCAATGATATTCTTCTGCCCATGTCTCCTCAGATACTTCTTCAACGCACTATTCCGTCCCCTGGCCTTCTTCTTCAGCTTCTCGACCTTGTCTTCTTTCCTTGCATCCAGATCCTTCTCCGCAGCGCGCTGTTCGTGGGAGGCCAAGTCGAGATTGCCCACGAAGTTCGGGTCGAGCGATATCATCTGTGGCTGGAGTTTCTCGAGGAGGGCGTGGACTTCGGCTTCCTGGCGCTGCTTGGTTGTTTCGAAGGGGTTGGTGCCGGGCTCGAGGGAGTCGGGGTTGGGCTCGCCGGCGCCGGGGACGAGGATGGATGAAAAACCCTTGGCGTGCGAGATACCCAGGACATCTTCGAAGGGGCAGTATTTCACCATCGATACGCCCATGCCGTCGCCTTGCCAGTTGAGGTATGGTGAGGGAACGACGACGGAGGACTCGGGAGAGAGCGAGAAGAGGTCGGGCTTGTAGACGGAGACGTGGCTGCCCCAGCCGACGGCGGTGAGGTTGCGGTCGGAGATGGATATGCTATGGGCGGGGGCTTTGAGGTGGTGCGAGTGGAGCTCGCGGAACATGCGGATGTCCCAGATGGACATTTGGCGGTCTTGCGACGCGGAGACCATGTAGCGGCCGGACTTGTCGACTGCGATGGCGCGCACGGGGCTGCGGTGGGGGAGCAGCTTGACCAAAGGTGTCTGGCTGTTGGGCGACCAGAGGGTGACGAGGCCTTTTTGGTGGCCTGCGTGGAGAATGGCGTTGTACGGGTTCTGCGCGAATGCGGTGGGCTGGCCGAGCTTGGTAGGGAGGTCAGACAGCATCTGGCCGGTGGAGATGTCGGTGTAACGGATCATGCCTGCGGTGGATATGGATGCGAGGAGGAAGTGGTAGGGGAGGTACTCGAGGTGTGTGGCTTCCTGATGCTTTTTCAGCTGGTGGATCTCGACGCCGTCGCCGGCGTAGATGTAGACGCATTTCTTCTGCGCGACAGCGAAGCGCTGGTTGTTGTTCAGCCACTTTGCGTCGCGCACCGTTTCGCCGAGCTGCAATTCGCAGCCCACCTTGCCCTCTCTCCAGTCGAAGTTGGCGACATGGCCCTTCCGGCTTGCAATAAGCAGCTCGCGCCCGTTCCGCGTGTAGTCGCATGCGTCGTACGGGCCCAGCGCATCTAAGCGCAGCTCGAAGCCCTTCTTTGCAGTCTCGATGCTGACCTCGTTCCGTATGTCGTCCTGCCGGACCTTGAATGTCCGCTCCAGTTCATGTTCCGGTTCTATGAGGCCTGCTTCGTTGTCGAGGAGGATCTCCGCCTGTTTTGCCTGCAGCGTCGCCTGCTTGTTCTTCTGCTCCAGTGCTCGCAAATTTGCCCGCAATTTCTTGTCCTTTACTGATTTGGTGGATATCTTTTGGCCGCGGCCATACTGTGTGTTTGCGGCTTGTGCGTATTCGGCTTGCAATTGCGCTTCAGCATCGTCCATGGGCGTCTTTTTTGCTTTCGGGCGGGGCGCAACGGATTTCGAGGGCGCTTTCGAAGCCATGGTGTCGGCAATACGTCGGACGTTACGCGACAATCAGACGAACAAGCTTTTGCAAGGTATCCGTGGTATAATCACTCGTAGCACTTTGCCTATACAAAGCTGTTGGCGAAGTTTGGCATTTCGAAATATTTTGGGCGGCGCAATATTCTGCCCTTAGTCACCGCCTGAAGCCTTGGCACCTTGCTCCACTCTTCGGGTCCCACATCTTTTACGCCGACACTTGCGAACAGCCATCTTGAGGAGCGGTCTCATCATTCCTAGTATATTGTATTCCCTCACTATCTCCAACCGCATGCTGATCTGATGGTTTGTGATTTCCAAATATCCGATTCAGCAATGTCTCAGTCGGAGCAGGACGAGGATCCCTGCACGCATCGCATAAGCGCGGATGCGGTATACTAAGTCGCCATGCCGCCAGGCTGAACTTTCTTCTCAACAAGGAAAAGCTTTCCGTATGTTGGAATTTGAGCGCACAGCTACTCATCTGCGCAGTAAAATCAATCCACTTGTTCCCTTCCAATTCCAAATTGCGTTCTCGGCAACTCTCGATCCTCAACCTGGTGCCTTACGATCGCTCGAACGAGTGCAAGGACGACTGAGCGAATTGCGCTATGCGACTATTGAATACAAAGACCCTGGTTCTTCATAGTTTCGTCTAGAGTATTCCTCCATATGTGATACTGTCCCATACGTGGGGTGACGACGAGGTCACTTTTGACGACATACATCAGGAACATGCGGAGAGCATGCAGGGTTACAGCAAAATTGTCAAATGTGGTGAGCAAGCCAATCACGATGGATACGAATGGGTATGGATCGACACCTGCTGCACTATACAGACTCACCACCGACGACAATGCCCTACGAAAAGGGTGGCATATGCCGCCGAAAATGGCGGTAGAATGTATATAGCTTTTCAATACAAACGTATTAGTTAATATTTCTATACTCATGCAACTGGGATCAGACACCCCGTATGTAGTGGCTGAGCAACCCCTGAGCCAACATGAGCCAGCGTGATTGTGCCTGATTTCCTCCCTGAGCAGCATGGGGTTTGAAATTCGTCCCTAATTAGCTTGTACGAAAAAGCACTATTGACACTTTCTGGGAAGCTATGAAATCGTTTCCACACACACACACAATCTTAACGAGTGAAAGAGCAGTGGCCCAAAAGTCCAAGTACATTGCTAAATGAGTGACTATTGCACCATCATCATCACCACCACCTCCAATCTCTAAAATCTCCAAAGATATGAACGAAATGCCACCCCGACATCTACCTCCTCCCCGAGTCAATCTACTCGCATCAGATCTTGTATCCAGTGAGCATCCATCCACTATTCTTTGGCAGGTTGGCTAACCGCATCGGCCGCTTCGGCTTCGGTGACCAGGAAGACGTC